TAAGAAAGACCTTGTTTTCTACGTAATTCCAAGCAAGAGAAAAAGATAAGATGCGTAGTAATAATAATATAAGATCATATATAACATAGCTGCTAAATTGGTTGGTTAGATCAACAAGTGCTGTAGGAGTTCAGAGAAGAGCCAGATCCTCTGAGGGAGAGAATAAGCAAAGATGCCATGGAGGAAGCTGGAAGACAACTACTGATTAGCAGGTGGAGGAAGAAGACAGGCTATGACTCAGAAATTAAAATACATAATACATCTGTTGGTCAGTGAAGGGGCAGGTCTAATTTAAGTAATGGGTGTTCTTGGGTTACAATAGGAAATAGAGGTAGAAAGGATTACAAGGATGTTGCAAGTTAAGCTACAGAATTTTAGTAGTTGAATCCACATAACATAAACAAGAGTGGTCCATCTCAATAGGGTCATACAGCAGAAACTGTCTTGTTCACCAGTGTAGACCCAATGACCAGCAAAGTGCCTGTACGAAATGGTGTGGGGTGGCCTTCTGGTGTATGTACTCTGAAAACAGAGCCCCAGAGAGTAACTCACCCATGAATTATGTGACAATTTTAAGCCACATACATACACATGTATGTATTTTAACTTCTGAGTCATGCCCTCTCTTCTTCCTCCACCTGTGTAACACTGAACAAGTTACTTAACATATTTGAACCTGTATTTTCTCATTGATTAATCAGGAATTTTAATTCTTGTCTTGTAAGAGTTGTTATGAAGATTTGAGAAGATATTTCTAAATTGCATAGCTCAATGTCTGGCCATAGTAAGTCCCTAATAAAGTGTTATTATTGTTAAAGCTATTATTTTTGTGGTTATTGAGAATACTCAAGGCATTCTTTAAATATGTGAAGTATCTACCCGCAAGTACCTCACTAGCCCAGTGTGACAGACTGTAACAGTAATAGCTCCCAATAAATCATGCCTCCCTGAATCCATATCCTTGTGCAGTGCCCTTTCATATTGACTCTGAGCTTGGCCATGTGACTTGTGGTGGTCACTGGGATATTAGCAAATGTATACAAACAGAGGCTTGAAAAGTGCTTGTGCATTGAGCCCCTACACTCTTTCAATGCTTTTGGAATCCAGCTGCCATGTGCAGAAGCAGGGGCTAGCCTGCTTGAAGACGAGACACATGACCCACTTGCCCCTAACACACTGGGCAACCATCAGAGAGAGGTCAGTAGGGTCATCCAGGACCAGCCAGCCCCCAGTTGACTTACCAACTGACCACAACCACGTGAGTGAGCCCAGCTACACTATGTGGAGCAGAGACAAGCTGTCCCATCTGAGCCCTTCACTAATCACCAACCCATAGAATTGGGAGCACATATATAGTTGTTTTAAGCCACTAAATTTTGAAATGGCTTGTTATTCAGCAATAGATAACTGACACCAAATGTTTAAGTCTAACAAAAAAATAAAAAGGGAAAAACATAGAATTTCAAATCAAACTGCTTATATTCACCTTAAAACATAATTAATATTCCTTTTTAAAAAA